AACTGAAACTTTCAGGAAAACCTTTTTTTTTTGGTCTATAAAATTATGACGTAACGAGAAAAAAAAATTAAAAAAAAAAAATTTGATTTTTGACGATTTTTGAAATTTAAAAAATTTGAAGCGACCTCTTTAAAATTTTTTTCAAGCTGTCCTTTGGAGAGAGCTCTTAAAACATCAAAAACTAACATTTTTTTCACTCGAGAACTAAAAAAAAATAGTCGGTTTTTTTGCGCCACCCTAATTCCCATATTTTATTATTTTAGCGTGCAATTATACATACTGAATAAAAAAAAATGATTCAATATTATTTGATCTTCCCATTTGACATGTTAATCAATAAAAATATTAATGAAAATTTACTTCTATCTTTATATTTAATTTTTTGGAGCAAGAGAGAAATTTTCTCAAGACAAGAAAATTTACTTCTATCAAAAACTAAATTTTTTGGAGCAAGAGGGTGAATTTTCTCAAAACAAGAAGATTTTCTTGACTTAAATAAATTTTGTTGGATCACGATACGTATTTCTAACAGCAAGGGAATTAATTTTGTTGGAATAAGTGGAATTTTTTATGTCAAAAAAATATTTTTTTTCTCTCAAGAAAATAATTAGGAAGAAAAATATTTTCTTGGCTCAAATAAAGCTTTTTTTCTGTGTAATAATTGTAAAACATTTTTGTTGGGAAAATGTAAGACGGCTCTAGAAATTAATTATTATTTTTTCGGATAAAAATATTTATAAATTATCAAAAAAATTTTTAGAAGAAAATATTTTAAAGATAGGTTGAAAAAATAAAGATATTTGAATCCTTTCTTTAGTGAGAGCTTAAAAAAATTTTTATGTAGTTCAGCATAAAATATATTTATAAATCAAAAATATTGATCTTCAAAATTTGAGATTAAAATTTTGTAAAAAAAATTGAAAAGTCAAAATAAAAAATTTACTTGAATCAAGTAAATAATTTTGAACAATTTCGACTCAATTTTTTTTTTTTTAATTTTAAAACAAATTTTACTTTTAAATTTTTTTCCTCCCGAATATATTTTGATATAATAATATATTTATAGTGACGCAATATATTACCATACATAATTTTTTGAAATAATAAAAAAAATTTAATATATTTTATTTATAATAATCCTCAGCAAAAGAGAAAATATAATCCATTGGAATCTAGGACTCGAGGACTCGGAAGGGTAAAAAGTAACTAAAGGGTGAGGATTGGAAGCAGCTCCTACTGGCACTGGTATATTAGATTTGCTTCCTAGGACACTTTAATCAGAATGTACCTATGTAAATTTTTGAATACATATCCTCGTCTCCAGCTCGAGCGATATTTGTATAGGTCAGCCGAAGGTATTTTCCTGTGCTGGACCAAAGAGACGTTAAGGGGGATGTAGACCCCTCACCCTTTCCTTGCGCTGATGATATGCGGGCTTCGTATAACGGGATGAATGAAGGTGAGTGTAGAGTAACCACGGGATGTATATGTTTGAATCTATATACATCTAACATGCATCTTTATATATGTATATGCCCTGCTGTACAACACGTCCGGAGAATTAAAGAATTTGCAATTCTGAATTTCTAGCAATGGAGGAGTATATGCATACACATTATATACGTTATTCTGCGTAGCTTTATTCTCAGCGACGTGCTACCCGAGAAACGAGTGTCCTACTGTATATCTGTCTCTTTTTAGATCCTTCTCTTTTACTCTCTAGTTCACGTAATTCTAAGATTTTAAAAGAAATATTTATTATTATTATCATTATTTTTACCAAAATTTTTGAAGAATCCATTATAATTGATTACAATTTACTCATTACTTAATTACAAAGCCATAGAAATTAAAAAAAAAAATAGTTTATAAAATTACCGCCAGGTGGCGCCATGGACCTTTTCCTTCTCACTTGCAAAATTTTTTTTCGAAATTAATGTTACTAGTATTACTTTTATAAAAAATTTCAAAAATCCATTAATATTGCTTACAATTTACTCAATATTTAATTAAAAAGCTATAAAATTTTTTAAAAAATTAGTTTCTAAAGTCACCGCCAGGTGACGCCGTGGCGCCTTTTCTTCTCGCTTGCAAATTTTTTTTTCGAAGTTTATATTATTATTTTTATTATTATAAAAATTTTTTAATGAAAAAAATTTTTAAGAAAATAAAAAAAATTAGTTTATAAAATCACCGCCAGGTGCCATCATCGCGCTTTTCTTCTCGCTTGCATAATTTTTAACTTCCCGCTAAGAAAATCGAAGATTTTGAAAAATCGGGAAGTTATTGTTTTCACCCCGTTTTGCAAAAATCGAGTTTTCGTCAGATCTCGACGTTTTGAGGTCCTAAGAAGCTTCCCTGACTATTCCCGCGATGGTGTCCGTGCGGCTGTATGAATGTGTGTGTGTGTGTGTGTGTGTGTGTGTGTGTGTGTGTGTGTGTGTGTGTGTGTGTGTGTGTGTGTGTGTGTGTGTGTGTGTGTGTAACATTCTATAACTTTGAACGGCTTGGCCGATCGGATCGAAATCGGTCCGGTAGCAGTATCTTTTCTGCCCCTAGTGTGTGTGTGTGTGTGTGTGTGTGTGTGTGTGTGTGTGTGTGTGTGTGTGTGTGTGTGTGTGTGTGTGTGTGTGTGTGTGTGTGTGTAAACTTCTTATAACTTTTGAACGGCTTGGCCGATCGGATCGAAATCGGTGGCGATCCAAAGTGTATCATTGCCATTAAATTTCGTGAAAATTTGAATCGATTCGGTTCGCTAGATTTTTAGAAATCTTAAAAACAAAATTTTCAAAAAATGGTTTTTTTGGAATATCTTTTAAACGGCTTTACCGATCGATTCCAAAAACTACTCAGCTTTTAATCTTGAAAAACCACGTCGATCACCGTTGGACCGGTCAAAATCGGTTGATTCGTTCGTGAGATATCGAAAACGAAAAATTTCAAAAAAAATATTTTTTCTAAAAATCTCATAAATGGCTTCACCGATCACTTTCAAAAACTAATCAGCTCTTAACCTTAAAAAACCACGTCGATCACCGTTGGACCGGTCAAAATCGGTTGATTCGTTCGAGAGTTATCGAAACCGAAAAATTTCCAAAAAAGTGTTTTTTCACATAACTTCGACATTTCTTTTCGGATCGTTTTTGACGAAATAAAATAATTATTAGAGCCCAAAAAATCACGTCGATCGCCACCAAAAACATGAAAATTGGTTGATTGGTTCGTAAGTTATCGAAAAAATTTGAAAAAATTCGGAAAAAGTGAATTTTTCAAATTTCTCTAAGATTTTCGGTTCGATCAGTTTGTGTTCAATAGTCTATCATAGATTCTGAAAAAGTGCGTGGATTACTGACAACTGCGTGAAAATCGATTCATTTATTTAGAAATGATTGCAGTTTGAAAATTTAAAAAATACTGTTGTATTAAACTTCTATCAGGCTTTTGAGCTCGAAGAGCTCTAAAGCATGCAAGAGGTAATTGTTTGAGCTCAAATTGTATTTTTGAGCTCGAAGAGCTCAGAAACGTCATAAGTGCAATTTCAAGCGTTTAGGTGTGGAATTGGCGGGAAGTTGCAGGGATGGCCTTTAGGGTCAACCGTTTTCCAGATTTTTTTATAAGTTTACATTATTATTATTTTTATGATTATTGTTATTATTATTATTTCTATCGAAAATCCATTATCATTGCTTACAATTCACTTAATACTTAATTATAAAACGATAGAAATTTTTTTTTTAATTAGTTCCTAAAGTCACCGCTAAGTAGCGCCGTGGCGCATTTTATTCTCGCTTGTAGAAATTTTTTTCGAATTTTATATTATTATGATTTCTATCGAAAATCTATTAACATTGCTTACAATTCAGTTAAAACTTAATTACAAAGAAATAGAAATTTTTTTAAAATTAGTTTATAAAGTCACCGCTAAGTAGCGCCGTGGCGCTTTTTCTTCTCGCTTGCAGAAATTTTTTTTGAAGTTCATATTATTGTTATCATTGTTATCATTATTGTATAAACTGTAAGAAATTTTAATATTTAACTTAATTAAGGTAAGTTTATAGAATTGAATAAAAAAAAATTATCCGAAGAATAAAATACCTTTAATAGTATTGTCAAGTTAATTAAATTATATCCAACGACCCAGAAAATAAAGATACTTTTTTATTTATTTTTCTTTCAATTCATCTTCCATTTCCGCAATATATATAAGTATCCATGAATAACCATTTAGTATTTCCAATTAACTTTTGCTAATAAGACGCCCCCAATGCTGCTGTCCTTTCTATCCGTAAACCAGAATGAAATAAAAATCAACAAACCGAAATAAAAATCCACCGGAATAAAATGAAATAGAATAATAAACAACACAATAATGACGACGAGGACAGTACAAACCTCATCCGTACCGCCCACGAGGGAAATAAAGAAAAGCACCGTTCAAGTATGACAATCATGGCTATGATTTTATACCATACCATGGCAATTAAAAATAAAAAATAATAATAAATCGACCGAATAAAGAGAATAATAAAAGTTCATTTGTGCTTACTACTTTTTTTTCTGACCCGTGCATTTAGTATTAATAAAATAGGGGAGCATTATTGTTTTGTTATTCATTATTGTGCATAAATTTTGAGATTAATTGCGGAAAATGAATGAAAATCGTGTTTAAGCATTAACAATGGTTACCGAATGCGTATAAATTTTTCCAGGTTTAGGTACAACCATTACCGGGAGAAAGTGTATTCTATACTGGATATTTAAATTGAATATCATAGAATAAGCAATGTTGGTAATATTCAAATCTTTTACTTACTGATATTTATTGTATTTAGTAGAGTATCTGAGAAAAAATTTCAATTTTGGCTATAATCGAACTTTATTTTCCTGTAATTACACACGTCAAAACACCAAGAATTGAAGTGACCATAGCAAACACGCAACTAAGCAACGACTACTGATATTTAAGAATAACTACGTTACAATATGCTCATTTAATATACTTAAACTCCAAAAGAGGTTCCAGGGTTGGACGGAATAACTTGCTCAATGGAAGAAATATTCCTCAGCTGTGATCGAAGTTCCATGCGGTACCGTCTTCTGATCAGAGTTTGCCTACAACGTTTCTCATACTTGTGAAAAAGCAGCTCCAGCCCGAAGGCAACCAGTCCCCATAATGATAGCCCGAGAACTATCATGTAGCTCAATATTAAGGTATCGAGGTCGATAAACTCAAAACTAGCACGCTCTTCTATCCGTTTGGTTTCTCTGAGTTTCTTTGAAAAATACTTGATACTTTTAAATTTCTGACCAGTATTAAAACCTGATTCAACGGTCCAAGAACTGACTCGATCAAGTTTGTCTTTGAGACTCCAATCTTTCCTGACCCAATAGATGAAATACTTTTCGAAAATAACGTCTCTTGATACATGAAGGTTCGTTGTTTTCGATGCATAGGATAGTTGTAAATTCCTAAGTGAAATACAAGCAACCGTAGAGTTAAACAACGCCTGGACTGCGCACCTGCGTAGCTCAGAATGATTAGATGGGTGCAAGTAATGTATGTCCTTATCAGTAACCCACAATTTTTCATTGAGTAAGTCTCTCGTTAACATTCCATCAAAATAAACATGATAGTTGTTATCGTAAAGATCTTTTAATGACTCGACGTTGCGCCTCAACGGTTCCGACAGTATAGCAGATACTTGACCTTGGAATTCAGGCATTACGGTAAAGACAAACAAGAACCCGGAGATGTAGATTATCCGCATCGACAACCGGTCTAAAGGTGTGATCACTCCCATGCCTGCGGTCAGACTCATAACATCCAACATACCACTACTGATGTCAAATTTGTTGTTAACTATGATTATCATCCCAATCAACATTAACATGATGATTGTCAAGAAAAGGAATTGATAATTGCAAGCAACTTGACTGATCGTCGTCAAATAGCTCGATTTTTTTGTTAGAATTGAGTAAGTAGCTATGTCATAGCGTGTTAAAATATCCATGAATGTGTAGTTGGTGTCAGCTAACTGGAACATTTTGTCCATGACATCAATTGATTTAACGGCTAATTCGCTGACATATCCGTTGAAAAATGATGTCATTTTAGTCGACGAAGAAAAAAACCATGTTTTATCCTTGGCTTTGATTAGCGATAATATATGGTATATTGTCATAGATCCTTTTTGTTTCATTTTTTGTAAATACTTAGTAGTTCCAGAGGCCAAATTTTCTCGAGGGATGTTTTCGATATTCATAAATGACCCTAACTTCACTTTGTGACCATTTAATTTTTTAGTCTTATCAAAAGTAAAGGGTCTGCAAATATTGCGGTCTGAAAGAAATGTAATCGAATATTATGCAAGGAAGCAAAAAGTACTCGGAAAAATTAAAATGACTGCTGCAATTTTGCGTCCGACTTGGTTATGTTTAAAAAAAAAAAATCCATAACAATAAGCTAACACATGATCACAGCCGTAAAAAGTCAGGTTTCAATTTTTTTGAGTAACAACAAATTAGGTATTTGAAATCTTTAATTTACCTTTTGTATATTCCATGCCGTAAAGGGTCGATATCTTTCCATTATCGCTAAAATCGTGAAAAAAAAGCCATGGTGCTGGAGCGTAGTTTGCATATGAATTCAACGTGAAAACAATTGTCGCATCTCGATGACTACACAGGTAATAGACGGTTAATAAATCCTGCTTCCACATAAATTGCAATACTTCAACAGCATTCAAACACAATGATTTCCTTTCAACGATCAAGAATGGAGACTTGATGCTCCATGCAGTCGATTTCCGAAAATGGTTAATAGTTGTCTTCAAGTAACCAATAGACTCAAATGAGAGTACGTATGTTGGATAAGCTGAATTAAAGCCTGTAGCCTGTTTCTGGAATTTGTGGTCAATCACAACCCACGAATTACCACCTGGATCCCAATCATTACTTAGTAGATCCGCGGAGATAATAATTGGATTCGAATTACTTTTAAAACACGTTTCAGCTAACTCTTTCTGAAGTTAAAAATAAATTCGTAAATCACTGTTGATTATTGGAAGTATTGAAAAACTTACCGCGTCGCGATGAAGGTCCGAAGAAATTCCAGTCTGTTTTATAATTTTTATTCTATTACACGACACATTACAGATAGACAAAAGATAACAACACAAAGTAGCTCTTATCACCCACATAATAAAACTATTCAAAGTTAGATGACTGATTAGTACACCGAATTTTGCAGTGCGTAGAATATTGAAGTACGTCTTGCTGCTTATGAATAAAAAACGCAACTGAGTTAACCACGTCCTAAGCAACGAGGCTTTTTGTCAACACAATAAACTGGATCGTAAAAGTGAATTTTTTATGCAAACCAAATACAGGTGAAATTTTAACATCTAACTTGAAGCCTGCAAACTTTTTATTGCTCTCTAACCACGTGTAAATAACAGCTCAACGTTGTAGACAACTATCGATTGATGTACTTGGTGTATTCGAAAAGCTATAAATTCTTATCTCAGAATAACAGACTATTTTCACATCGATATCGGGAAAGTTTTGTTGCCCTTGACGCCAAAATGAAGGAATATTACAAAATTCTTGTTTTACATTGTCTTAGTTTCAATAAAGAGAATAAAAAGAAAATAAATCAATAAATCGAAAAAATTAATAAATTTTCTATCATTAAAAATGGAGTTTTTGATTTCATTTTAGTTGATGACATTTAAATCTATTAAACAATTACAATAAAATAACCTGGTTATGATAATAAACTAAAATGATGAATCGTCGAACTAAAAATACTTCTCAATCAATAAATTGACATTTTGATACATAAATTAATAAAAGTTTAAAAAAACTAAAAATACGCTTTTTATACAAAACCAAACTAAAAAATAGAAAATAAATTTTAATAAATTTAAATTAAGAATAGTGTTAAAAATTTTAATAAATATAAATTAATAATAGTGTAAATAAAAAATATGTATTTTATTTTAAAAAAAGCGTGGGGGGCTTTTTAAGATATTATCAAAATGATAATCACTCTACTCATATCTGTCAATAAAATATTTATAACTATTGACACCATGCACCCCACACTTTTTTTAAAACAAAATACATTTTTTTTATTTATACTATTATTAATTTATATTTATTGAAATTTTTAACACTATTCTTAATTTAAATTTATTAAAATTTATTTTCTATTTTTTAGTTTGGTTTTCTATAAAAAGCGTGTTTTTAGTGTTTTTAAACTATTATTTATTTTTTACTTTTTAGTTTGGTTTATTTATAAAAGCGTGATTATTTAGTTTTTTTAAACTATTATTTGTTTTGTAGAATTAAAATTCTCCTTAGTATTCGAAAATTTGTTAATATTAGAGGAATATTAGTTCCATGCGGTACCGTCTTCTGATCAGAGTTTGCCTGCGACGTTTTTCATACTTGTGAAAAAGTAGCTCCAGCCCGAAGGCAACCAGTCCCCATAATGATAGCCCGAGAACGATCATGTAGCTCAATATTCATTAAGGTATTGAGGTCGATAAACTCAAAACTAGCACGCTCTTCTATCCGTTTGGTTTCTCTGAGTTTCTTTGAAAAATACTTGATACCTTTAAATATCTGACCAGTATAAAAACCTGATTCAACGGTCCCAGAACTGACTCGATCAAGTTTGTTTAAAAGACTCCAATCTTAAGAAATAATTTTTGGCCATACTCGCTCTAAAAATTCAACTTTTGAGCGCTGGCTGGCGTCCGTGAAGGGACTCTTTTCTAGAGACTCTACCATACCGTCTTTTTTTTACAGCCTAGATCGTGAAGTTTACCTCCTCCTTTTTTTACAGACTTTTCGTGTACACCCAGACGGAATTCAGAGAGATTGTAAAAAAAAGTCACATTCTAGTGTACCAACCGATGATTTTGAGTAAGTTTTATACTTAGTTACTATTGAGTGGCGCTAATTATTTCTCTGCTGGCAGTTTATTATGAAGCGGACCTAATGTTAAGAAAATAACAATGCGTTAACCTACTGGAACTTTTTACAACTAACTATCTACTATAGAGTTTCTGTTGCTAAATTTTTTCTCCGTGTAAATATCGTCGCTGTCAAAAAATCGCCACTTCACGGCTTTATGACATAAATATCTGTTTTTATTGTGGATAACAAATAAAATATCGAAAATTAGATTTATTTTGATCATTATGCAAATATTAACGCATGCACATTTCTATATACCAAACTTTATCTTTATTAAAGTAATTCTATTTACAAGAGTCCATCTAATGACGTATTCAATATAAATTCTCCCGAGAAGTAGATGGAACGTAAGAAATAATTAACTAGAATCTCATTAAGCACCAGCAAAACCGGAGGTTCCAGGTAGTTGATTTGCATCAGAGACCTTTCTTCCGAACTAAATTATTAGTAAGTCTAAATAAAAAAGGGAAAAAAGTGAAATATGTAGATGAGGATAAATATTTAAATAACTTAGTTATTATGAATGTAGGCGGCTATATAAAGAGGAAGGCAATCACATCCCGTCGTTTGGTAACTGATGAAACGTAGTACCGTGGTATTAATCAGGGCTTTATGAGTCCTGAAATATCGCGCTCGGATGTCGTGCGATACACACCGGTATATTATATATAGAGGACAGAAAGCTCGAACGAGGGGTGACGATAAAGCGAAGAGCAAAGTGAGAGTGAGAGTATAAGAGCAGATCCGGTACATCGACGATGTTAACTGGGGCCAGATTCCAAGTATGAGTGAAATAGTAAATGAGAAATTAGTATAAGAGATAAAATAAGTACCAGAGAGCCAGTCGGAGTAGTTCGACCATCATAGGAACCAAGACATCAATGTCAATAATAATTCATTGATTACTTAATTCACTGTTACCATGACAACCGACTTCCCTTTGCACTTTGTGTATCTCTTTTACTCTACGTTACAAGCTATTGCGTTTTATGAATTTCTTCATCAATATTTAAGATATTTTCCTCATCTGACGATACATTGATCAGATTGGATAGAAGCTTTTGGGTTTGCTAGGGACGAAAATTGATCAATAAAAATTTTGTAGAAAGTTATTTATGTTTCAAATATTAATTTCCTTCTCTACTTTGTACGTGATTGTACAGTAAAAAAAATTAACTTAATCCAAGATAAATATTATTGAACCAAAAAAATCATTATGAAGAGCCTTATCATCTTCTTGATCCAATATTATTAAATTCTTCAAAATTATGGTCAAAAATTTACCTCTTGAATTAATTTTCTTTTAGTGTATCATTCTGTGTAAAAAAAATTGTCCCAAAAATGTCCCAAGCGTGGACATTCAAGTGTGACACAATAAAGGACAATTTCGGAACATTTTTTGGACAATTTTATACTAATATCATTTAAAAAACGTTTCAAAATTGTCCTAAAAATGTTTCAAATTTTATCCTACAACATTCTAACATTGTCCTAGAAATATTCTAAAATTGTCAAAAAAATGTTCCAAAATTATCCTAAAAATGTCCAAAAATTGATCCATTAATTTTGGAGCAAATCTACAGCTTTGCAAAAATAAATTAACACTTCTTAGATCATTTAAAAATCAGTCTAAAAATGCTTCAAAATTGTCCAAAAAATTGACCAAAATTGTTCTAAAATTGTCCAAAAAATGTTCCAAGCGTGAACGTCCAAACGTGACACAATGAGGAACATTTTTAGGACAATTTTGAAAAATTAATTGGACAATTTTGTCCTAAAATCATTTAAAAAACGTTTCAAAATTTTCCTAGAAATGTTCAAATTTGTTCTTAAAACAATTTAACATCGTCCTCAAAATATTTCAAAATTGTCCAAAAAATGTTCTATTCATTAATTTTGGGACAAATCTACAGGTGTCTAAAAATGAATTAGCACTTCTTAAATCATTTAAAAATAAGCCAAAAAATGCTTCAAAATTGTCTAAAAAAATTTCCAAAATTGTTCTAAAATTGTCCAAAAAATTTTCCAAAATTATCGAAATTTTATTGTTAAATTATTTAAAAAATATTTTAAGATTATTCAAAAAATTTTTAACATAAGATTTTAAAGACAAAATTTTAACTTATTAAAAAAAAAATAAAGTTACGAAATTTCATCACCAAATTCGCGGTTAAAATTTTCTTAATAATTTCTATCGCAACTCTTCTGGCAATTAAGTCTTATTTTGTGCTTTTTTTTTTTTAATCCATATTTCTTGACTTGATCAATTTATGTTAAAATTGCAACTAACATTGAGGCTTCTAGAAAATAATTATTATTCACGGACTTAATTTAAATAACATATGAGTGCTTGAAGCACATTTGAATGAGAATCATTAAAACATTAAATTGAATCGATATTTACTCAAAAAAAAAAAAATTAATTGATAAAAAAAGCAAAATAAGAAAATTTTTCTATTGAAAGATGAAAGAAGCGAACGGATATGGAAAGCGTAACCGAATGATGAGAACGAGAATAAAATAAAACAGGTTTGCGAAAGCAAGCAAAAGTATGAAAAATGAAAGGTAAAAAAGCGAATCGTTGGGAAAGAAAAGTATCTGTATTAAGCTTGTATTTTCTCCAGATAATTAGGACTTTTTTAGCCCCAACCAATTTAGATGAATAATTGATTTCATTTCCGTCAACGCTTTCCCTCTCCACCGCTCATTCTTTTCCTCTGCCTCCACGTATTTGCTGTTACTATTACCGTGGAGCAAACTTAAGTATTTTAAGTTCCTCCTTAAAATTCGAATGACAATTACGTATTAAAAAAAATGATCATAATAAAAACTGGGGTTTTTTTTTTCAAGGCGAATTAAATATTCAGAGATGAACGAATCGTAGATGAACCGTGATGGAGTCAAAGGAATTTTTATACGCGTGAAAAGTAATTGAAAGTTACATTATTAATTCATTTTCTTAGGGTTCGCAGGAATCTAAATATTGCACTTAAATTACGATTTTATAATTAAGTAGATATTTTTTTTTTCAATAATTTAATTTTCTACATTAATTTATTTTTAAAAAAATTATAATTTTGTACATTTACTAGCAGAAGGCAAGACTATTTTTTATTGTGTAGAATAATTGGTCCTTTTACTGTTTTTACACAGTAAAAAATTTTGCGTCATTGCGTCAAAAAATTTTGTGTTAAAAATTTTTTTGTTAAACATTTAACACTTTTATGTGTGAATTTAACATTTATTGTGTTACATCAACACAAAAAAGTGTTAAATATTTAACATAAAAATTTTTAACACAAAATTTTTTGACGCAATGACGCAAAATTTTTCTACTGTGTATAATTGATAAGGTGAATTATTTATATTTTTATATTTATATATTTATTGAAGAATAATAAAACACAAGGTTTGGCAAATCGGCAAATTATTTATTTCAATTTTAATTGTTAAATAATACAACGATTTATGTGATTATCAGCACAACTAGATGCACGACCAGCCCTTAGTTACTGCGTAAGCATCATAACATTTGGTCTTGCAACAATGACCCCAAAGTCCACAGTCACTGTTACTAGTACACCGCTGGAATATAATGAAAATTTTTTAATAATTTATGTATTAACTACACGGAGAGAAAAATGTGGAAATCATTCCTATAATTTTAATGAAATATTTTCCTATACCATTTTAGGAGCGATTACTTAAATTATGGGAATTATACCCATAATTTTTGGGAAACGTTACTATAATTATGGGAATGGTTTCTATAATTATAGGAATGGTTCCTATAATATTATGGAAACTATTCCTATAATATTATGGAAACTATTCCTATAATATTATGGAAACTATTCCTATAATATTATGGAAACTATTCCTATAATATTATGGAAACTATTCCTATAATATTATGGAAACTATTCCTATAATATTATGGAAACTATTCCTATAATATTATGGAAACTATTCCTATAATATTATGGAAACTATTCCTATAATATTATGGAAACTATTCCTATAATATTATGGAAACTATTCCTATAATATTATGGAAACTATTCCTATAATATTATGGAAACTATTCCTATAATATTATGGAAACTATTCCTATAATATTATGGAAACTATTCCTATAATATTATGGAAACTATTCCTATAATATTATGGAAACTATTCCTATAATATTATGGAAACTATTCCTATAATATTATGGAAACTATTCCTATAATATTATGGAAACTATTCCTATAATATTATGGAAACTATTCCTATAATATTATGGAAACTATTCCTATAATATTATGGAAACTATTCCTATAATATTATGGAAACTATTCCTATAATATTATGGAAACTATTCCTATAATATTATGGAAACTATTCCTATAATATTATGGAAACTATTCCTATAATATTATGGAAACTAATCCTATATATTATGGGAACCATTCCTATATATTATGGGAATAATGCCGTTATTACAGTTATAATTATAGGTATCGTTCCTATAATTATAGGAACCATTCCCATAATTATAGTAACGTTTCCCAAAAATTATGGGTATAATTCCCATAATTTAAGTAATCGCTCCTAAAATGGTATAGGAAAATATTTCATTAAAATTATAGGAATGATTTCCACATTTTTCTCTCCGTGTATAAAAGCCACAATTTATAATTTAATATCCAAAATAAGTGATTAGTAGTTGTTACTATAGCAAATAATGACTCTTTCATATGAAAAAATTACAGTTTCAAACAGTAAAAATTGCCATTTCAATATATAATCCATATTATGAGGAGAAGGGGAACTCAGATGAAAGAGAAGGGGGTCTCACTCTGGGAGAATTTAACATTTGAAACAGTAAAAATTATACTTTTAAAATATACATTTTACCTATCCAAGCAAGTCAATAATTACAGTTTGATTTTTAGCGTTGCGTTTAAAATTTACCATTTTACTTTGTAAATATTGACGTTGCTTGTATTAGAAATTTACTAACTTTACTTTATAACTTTTTACGTATCATAAGATCATTTTTTAGGTACGAAATGATAAATATCAAAGTCTGAATTCTAATTATTATACTTAAACATTTTAGACATTTACATAGCGAATATTACTGATTGAAATAGTGTTTTTTTCCATGTAAAGGGTAAATTGTAACGTTTAAATGGTAAATATTATAAAGTGAACAGTAAAATCACGATTTTACTGTTTGAAATCGTAATTTTTAGCAGTTAATCATTACTTATTATAAATCGACTGTTAATTATTACAGTTTACTTTTTTCCGTGAAATTATGAAATTAGTGCTTACCGTACGCATATTCTGATTCATCAAACTTTATCTAGTTTATTCTATTAAAAAAAAAAATTGTTTCAGGTTTATCCATTGAACTCGCCAGTAAAAAACGTAGACAATATTATCATA